TCTCTCTCTCTCTCTCTTTCTCTTCCTTTTCTTTCCTTCCCTCCCTCCCTCTCTCCCTACTTTCTTTCTTTCTTTCATTCTTTCTTTCTTTGTATCAGAGATTGAACTCAGGACCTTGCTCTTGCAAGGCAGGCATGGTGCCACTGAGCTAAATCCCTGGAAAGTTAGTCTGTTTCTTACATGTGCCCCCTGCAGAATGGGAGGAGGAAGATGACAACAGGCACTGTGCCAGACTCCTCATTGCTGGTGTCTCTGGAATCTCCAACATGCCGGATGCCTGTCAGTCCTCAAAGGTAGTTGCGGAGTAAATAAATGTGTGCACATCGGCGTGAATGAAGAGAGGAAGAAAACCTAATTTCTCGTCCTGGATGTGCCACTAAGTTGCTTTCACTCTCTGGGTCTCATTCATCTCAACTATAAAATATATGGTGGCTCCAGCCCAGGAAGTCTCAAAGGAAATTTCGTGGATAAGACTGAAGGGCTTAAACAGGGGAGTCATATGCTAATATTTGCAATGGAAACAAACAAAAGAAAAAAAAAACATGGTGGGACCTTGTAGAAAGTGGATGGAAGGCACCCATTCTAGAGGCCAGGGAGTGGCCAGAAGGCTATGAAAGATGTATAGGACAGAGAGAAATGAGTCATCCACACTTATCAGAAGATAGCAGATAAAGCTCACAAACACTCTCAAGTGACAGACTGTTACCAGGAACCCAAATAGAGTCAAGTTATATATGTGGTGGGTGGAATGTTTTGTCTCTGTCCCTTTCTTACACACGCGCGCGCACACACACACACACACACACACACAGAACCTCCCATTTCAGTATCACCTGGATTCACCAGATTAAGTTTTTTAAAAACTAACGTTTTGATAAATCACCTTTCCAATGACTATATATAATTGACTCCTTTCTATGTGCAGCTTACAATAATGTGTAAAATTATGTATATGATAATATAATCTGCTAACATTATAAAAAATAGAAAACAATAAGTAAAGAACAAACCAGGCTTAGGGATAGATACACTAGATCAGACCAGGAAGGATGTTAAAACATAAAAAAAAAATACAAAAGTTCCAGGGTTTTATAAAAGTTGAGCCATATATTTGTCTTTTGAGCTTCCTAGTGGCCAGAACATGATGATGCTTGAAATGTAATAACAATATGAGGCTACATTGTTTGCACTGTATAAGGAAAAATAAACTAATATCATAGGAGAAAACTTTCTTGGGCACTTTAATTGGAAAGAAATAACTCATATTTTTTATAAACATAGGATAATACTACTTATTTTTAAAAACATAAATATACATAAGCAATTTTGAGGAAAATCTACTAGATCATTTATCATAATTCTTTCTCTAGGCAACTGGGTTGCAATGTTAGTGACTTCTTATTATTCTTCCAAATTTTCTAAATTTTCTAGAATGTCTAGATATAGAATTTATAATCAGGAAAATCCAATGAGCTGTTTTTCAGTTTCATTTAGAAACTGAAAATAATCACATAAACTTTACTGTTCTTAAATATATAATTTCATACCATTCAGTAAATTCATACTGTTGTGCAAGCATCCCTGCCATCCAGCTCTATATCTCTTTTTATGTTATAAAACTGAAACTACACCTATTAAAGAGTAGCTCCCAGTCCTCTCTCCTGCAGCCCCTGGCAACCATCATCCCACTTTCTGTCTTTGTGATTTTCATTATACTAAATATCTCATCATGGGCTTTTATACAGGGAGAACTAACCGATGTCGTATGCATTCTCCAATTTAAGAACTAGAAATCACTTGTAGAAATCATTTTATGAGAAGGATACTATTGTTTGATTAAAAAAATAGAGACATAAGGAAGAAGAAGGTCTGATCTGCTTATATATCAGCAACATATATTTGGATATGGGGATATAAATTATTTAATCCTATAATCAAGAATTTTAAAATCAAGTCTTCCTCTTGTTAGAAGAATGAACAAAAACAGTTATAATTTATTAAGTCTTTAGTATGTGCTAGGCACTATGCTAAGTATGTGATCTAAATGAGCCCAGCACCCCACCAGATCTAAGGCATGAGATTATCCTTCTCAGCCCAAACTGTAAATAGAAGGATATAATCACTTCCTGCCCATCATAAAAGTCACAGCTGACACCTCTATAACAAAAGAACATTTGACAAGAGAACATTGATTCAATCAAAAATTTACATGCACGGAAGCCTTTGAAATGAAGACCCAGAGACCCAGAGTGAACTGCCTATTTTTATGTTTAGCTTCAATGAAGCAGGCACAGCCACGTAGAAATAAGACTGGAAAAATAAGTCTAAGATAATGCCAATAGACCAAGTAAGGAAACCATCCAGGCTTTTCTGTTTCAATTCTTCTCAGCCCCTCAGCTGTATCATCTCTTCCTCTCCTGTATGATGCAGGACTCCTATGGGATAAGGGTCTTGATTTTTTTATAGCCAGTCATTATACAGAAAGCAGAGGAAAGTTACAGTAATATTTTAGGCACTATAACTGATTGGGTGGGTGGTTTGGTTCTGTGACCTGCCTTGGGGAAGAGGAATTCTGTGTCCATGGCTTCCCTCAAGGGAAAATCAGAGGCAGAAGGTAGGAGAGCAGGAAAAGGTCAGAGAGCAGTTTGGCTGAAAAGGAGTTCATTTTGGAGGGACATTTTCTGAGCCCTAACAGTCACATCAACTGATAGATTTAGTCAGTTCCTGCACCCTGTGGGAGATCACAGAGCGCTGAGCCTTGGTCCTTCTGACTCAGATCCCTGGGCACAATGGGACCCCTCCTTTCTTAGGTTAGCCTAATAAATGTACTACGGAAATGATTAAATGTTGACAAAGCCCATATTATTTCACACTAAACAAAAAAGGAAGAAATTTTCAGAAGATTTCATTCTAGTATGAATGCACAAAAATGTCTACATCAGTTTCAGAAGAAGAAATTGATCTATCCACCAAGATGTAGTGGATTATTATAACACGGTAAATTTTTATCCAGAAAAAAAAAAGAAATACTTAGCATGGTGAGGCAGCAAATATGGTGCCTTCATAGTGCTGGCAAGAGGGGGAAGAGGAAAATCTCACTTACTGCAGGTAGCCAGGCTATTTGGCAGGTGTCTGTCTTCTATGGTTTGTCCCGATTGCTGGCTTCACTAGAAAGTAACATTTAAAATTTAAAATCTTGTTGTTGGGAGAAAACATTAACTGAGTGTTCTAAGTCTATACTCACAGTTAAGTATAAGCTTTGGGTTCTGAAGAGAAAAAGAATTGGGTTCAAGTTCTGATGGTGACCTCATTTGGTCCTTTTGGCAAGTTATTTGACCCCTCTAATGAGTACTGACCCCATATGATTATTGAGAGTTTCAAGTAAGACATAGGCTGTTAATTGTTTTACCCCATGTCTGGCACATAGCAAGTGCTTAATAGATGAGAGTTAGAATTATTCCCTAGCTTAAGTTGCATCCCATTCCTGAACCACCCAGACTGGCCATGGGATGTCATGTTCTGACTGATTGGGCCTTGGTCATGGAGTGGCATTCTGAAAGGATGATCCTGACTTCTGCAAGGACAGAGAATTTTAGGAAGTCAAGAGTGTGTGTGGGAGAGCAGTGATTCCTAGACCTTTGAAGGCAACCAAGCCAAGATGATAGTAACTAGAAAGAAGGTGGTGATTGCACTGTCACAATTGAAGGTCAGGTATTGTGCTTCTGGTGAGCCATGGGCCATGAATAATGAGCTCTCTCCAGCTAAACCAGTAGTTCTACTTCTCCATGGAGACAGAGAAGGTTGAGTAACATCTACTACTAGGCTCCCTTTCCTATTCCAGATCAGGCCAGCATGTGCTCTTTTCATTTCAGACTTCTGAGAAAATGCAACCCCAAAGCATTTTCTAAAACATGTAACCTTGTGGAAGGACAGTATTTAAACTATAGCATATACAGATAGGAGCAGCCTCAAGAGCACACTGCCAGTCAGAGTCATCCCTCTATCCCTGGGGCCTTGGGAACTATGTCTTCTAAGCCTCTGCTATCCATCTTGATCACAAACAAGTAGTCTTGGCTTTCAAAACAGGAAGTAGCCCAACTTGGATTGCTGCTCTTCCTGGTAGCTTCCCTGTCCTTTCCAGAAATCCCTCCTCCAGAAAAAAGACTAGGCAGCTCTTCTGCAAAGAGAAAAACATCTTTCATGGAGCTCTGGAGAGACAGGGTGTGCAGTGGCACTGGACAGGAGATATGGGTAGGAGACAACGTGGTAAAGTTGCAGCACAGCCACCACCTCTGTACAAAGCGCATATGGAATTGAGAAAGCAAGCATCAAACAAGAGGAGGAGGACAGAATAGGTGTTTAGAACTGGCCATGCCCCAGGTGTTGGGTTGGATATTTATCTTGGAGATGTCTCTCAGTGATCCCGAGAAGTGCGCATTTTGTCTCTCATTTGACAGGCTCTGAGTTAGCCCAGCCAGAATTCATAGGTGTCTGCCTGCAAAAGTCCATACTTTCTCAGGCAGTCGTCTGGTTATTTTCACCTTGATAATACTCCATGACTCTAGCTATCTTTTTTCCTCCCATGTAGGTGAACCAGTAGGAAAGTAGTCTGAGACAACCAGTATCCACTGCAAGGAGGTAAGAACAGGCTTGTAACTGTGTACACACACATATATGCATGCACTTTGCATATTGTAGTGGGTAATGAAAATATTAGGGCTTATCACTGTGAGCAGCACTGCCATTCATCACACCAATTCCTCTCTTAAATGAGGACAGTCTAATTTCCTTGAAAGGAAAGCACCTCTATCAGTTTCATCTTGTTCACCCAAAGGATGGTGCCCCACTGCTATCTCACATGTGGCAGGTGCTCACTGTATACCACTTTAAATGGAAATGAATTTTATGCTTTATCTATGCTCCCAGGTCTTTGGGATTTGGAGGATTGCCTCCTCAATGTTAAAGAGCTTTTTAAAAGGGAATGTTTTCTTGAAAGTCCAAAGGGTTAAGAAACATCTGTTTGAAGGAGTCTAAGCTATGATATTTGTGCTTACTCCACCGAGGGACATTTCTCACAGGGGTGTTCATGTCTCACACATATAGTACTGTGCTGTATCCAAGATACTTCTTGTTTCTCAGTTTGATTTTGCCAAGAGTCTGACCAACACCCAAAGGCCCCTCTAGCTTAAACTAAGGCTTGTCTTGCCAGAAACCAAAGTTCCCAGCCATTTATCAATGTCTAATCCCTATCAGGCTCAGAATAGAACAATTGCCTGTAAAAGATGTGCAGGAAATTGCTGGTGACTTCCAGTAATAGCTAATGTGAGTGGGAAAGGCATACATTGTCATGGAATGGAGCAGGAGGATAAGAAGGCATTGTCAATGGCTTTATCCAAAAAGGGTGTGATTTTATTTTAAAAAATAAAAACTATTACAAGGTCTGTGTTACTTCCTACTTCATCCTGAGCTAGACTTCAAACAGTGATTCAGTTTTCCATCTTCTCTATGAGACAAGATGTGATTCCAACTGAAGCACATTGATTAACCCCAAATAACTTTCCCTCAATTTGCTAGATGCTCAAGAATTCCCTGAGGTCCCTGCTTTTGTTCTGAGTTAGCCATTTGGGAGCTTGGCACTGATCCTCATGTAACTATTCAAACTGAGTGAACCAGAAACATGTCAGGAATTACACAAGGACATATAGTACAGTTTAATTAGTTTAGAGAGAGGGTGGGTCTCCCCCCATCTTCCTAAACATCACTCAAGCAAATTGTTTTTTTTTTTATGGTCTTGTTAAAATAATTTCATGGTTGCAGTTTTGTTCTCATGCTAACTGAGCAGGACTGCGTGGGTTATTAAAAAGGGTAGTCAGCCTGGCGAAGGTGGGTGCATTCTCTTTGCTTTTAAAAAACAGGGGTTTAATCACCTGCTTGTGCAATGACATATTAAAGAACCCAATCTTGAATGTCAGCACAAGGCTGAAGCTCCGATTAATAATAGTCGCTAGCTAGGAAATTCTTTTGCTGACTTTAATCAGGAATTTTTCATAGTAACTGAGGCTGCCCACGGGTAGCCAGGCAGTAGGGATTTTCATTCCATCACGCACATTTTTCTCTTCATTGTGGTATGGAGAACATTACTTATTGGAACATGTGAGACAGCTTTGCTTTCTGCAAGTGGAAATCTTGTTGTTCCTCCTCCCTCAGTTTTTCAAAAACACTAGAGAACTGCCCTCTTTCAAGGAAGACAAGTTGCCAGTTTCAAAATATGGGTCTGCTGTGTTTAATTCCAGGGCTCCCAGTCTTCCTGGCGTCTCTCTGTCTTGTGATATCAATCTTGTGGGCATGAAAAAAGATGGGCAATCAGGGAAACCCATCTACTTTTTGTGGGAACCAGGTTCGGATTAAACAGATACTATTTTCTTGCTAAAGAAACTTGTATATCTCCCCATAATCCATGTTGTAAAATTTGAGCTTTTTAGTCTAATGTTCGAGACTGTTCATAATCTAGCTGCCAACCTTTTCTGGCTTCATTTCCCTTTTCTATCATGCCCCAGCTAGACCCCATTCACGTGGAGTGGCTTTCAGGGGCTTCCCTAACAAAAGCCCTTCTCTTTGCACATTTCTATTGGACAAAATCATTTCATCTTTTGAGGCAAATCAAATGGCATCTCCTGTAGGGAGTCTTCCTTGAAGACTATGCATTAGGGAGGGCATTGAGGCCACCTCACTAGTTACTTTGTTTAAAACATTTACAGTGTGTGTGTGTGTGTGTGTGTGTGTGTGTGTGTGTGTGTGTGCTACTAGCCTTTTAGGACTTTCCAAAGGATATGATGACTCACCAGTGCTTTGCTATTCTGAGTGAAGTTTGTAAAATCGGTCTTACCTGGAAGTGAGAACACTATCATCCCTCTATATTTGCAGGTTCTGAATCTGCTGATTTAAACAACCAGACCAAAAAATATCCCAATAGGGATTTGCATGTTTGTTTTCTTGTCATTCTTCCTTTAGCAGTATAGTATAACAACTATTTATATAACATTTGATTTATATAAATATATACATGATATATGTAATCCAGAGATGATTTAAAGAATACTGGAAGATATGCACAGATATATACAAATACCACACTATTTTATATAAGCTATGGAAGTCTCTGTAGACATTGGTATTCAGAGAGGATTGTGAAGCCATTCTCCTATAGATACTTGAGTGATGCCTGTAGTAGAAATGCATAATGTCAGGCTAACCCCAAACCACTGAATCAGAATCTGGATTTTGACAGGCTCCTCAGGTGAATCCTTTGAGCATTAAAGTTTTAGTAGCATTGACTTGAAGGACCCAAATATCATGAGGATTATGTTTAGTTCTTCCATGCTATGTGGTTGTTCAGCAAAACAGCACAAAATTCAATTTCACATATACCTTTTCAATATCACATATATCTAGGCCTTACCTGATTTAGTAGGGCAAACTCAGACAGAGTGTGCATTTTTAAAGATGACAAGTGATTAATATGCACAGAAAAGAAATTCATTGAAGATCTTGCAATCAATCTAACAGTTTAGAGGAACTATAGTATAAATTAGATCAACCTGATTTAAAAATGTGTGCTCAGTCCAACAGCAAGAACACTACTTAGGAATGTCAGTTTTTACCCCAGCTCAAAGCAACTGAATCTACAAGTGCATTTTAATAAGGTCTCAAAGTGATTGATATGTACCAGAAAGGTTGAGAAGCTCTGATGGAGGACAGTTTCGAAGTCCTCCAGGGTTTTGATACTTACCAGTTGATGCCTTGGCAAGTTATTCTCTGAGCTACAGTCTCTTTATCTTAAAAAAAAAAAAGCACCTACTTTCTCAAGGTTATTGTGAACATTCCACATATTCATTCACACAAACTGATTAGAAGACTACATGACTTCTGGTAAATGCTCAGGAAAAGTGAGTTACTGGTATTTAAAAAAATAATAATAATATTCCTTATCAGCCAGTCAGATCATCCATGGTGTCCCCCTGTAATGAGCAAAGTTCTATACCCATATGAGCAGACACACACATACACATATATGTAGGCACACTGCAAAAGAAGAAAACAGAAAAGACATTGCCTTTACCCTTGAGTGGCTCTTGGAGCAAAGAGAGAGAGAAGGCAAAACCATAGAGAAATAGACAAGCAAGCTTCTTCTGCAGCATGTCACCATGGAGAACATACTCTCACTGGCTAGATAGGCTGCTTGATGAGTTGTCACAAGGAAGAAGAATAGTTCTGGAGCTTGTTAACTAACTGATGAGTCAGGATCAACAGCAATTGAAGCATGAAAGTGGAAATACACAAAGAAGTCTTTGTGCCCAGATCCAGCAGGGCACAGTACTCCTCCTCTGTATTCCCTACCTATTGGAGTACACAGAGGCAGGATGCTGGGAAGAAGCCCAGCAGGGGATGGGACAGTGTCGAGGGGTGCCATAGGAGCCGTAGAAGCTAGGACACTCAGGCCTGGAATGATGACTAAGCCCAGATCTATAAGGAAATGCCCTGAGCTTCCAGGGGCAAGAAAATGGTTTTCAAATTTAGGTGAGGGGAGTGATCACTAATAATAGGATAAATATCAGCAGTCAGAAGTAGACTGGTAAGGACTGTCTGAGATTATGAGTATTTTGAAGACTATAAGCTAAAGTGGCATCAGAGTGAGGGGCAAAGTCTTGAGTCATAATAATATTCATAAAATTATTGCCTTAGTTTTCCATTGCTCTAATGAAATACCTAAGGCTGGATACTTTGGTAGGAAAGGCATTTGTTTAGCTCACATATTAATAAGTTGGAATTCCAAGATCAGGTGGCCCTAATTGTTCAGTCTCTGGTGAGGCCCCCTTGGCTACATCACATCATGGCATTTGGTATCACAACAGTGTCATCATGGTGAAATCACATGCAAAAGTATTAAACAGGGTCTCTAAGAACTACATTAATTTCTTCCAAGGCAACACACCCTGTGACTCAGTCACCTCCCACCTCTAAAGATTCCAATACCTCCCACATCACCATACTGGGGACTAAGTTTCCAATGCATGGGCCCTTGGGGGCACATTCAAACCATATCCAAACCATGGCAATATCTGCCAGCACTTTCTGTGTATCAACTCACTTTATCTGACAAGTACGTGTTTTAGGTACTATCCTACTGGTTAGAGAACTGAGATATAGAAATGTTAAAATATTTGCCCAGTGTCACATGATTAGTAGGTGGAAGAGCCAGGCAACTTGATTCTCATAACCAGTGCTCTGAACTGTTCAACTACATTGGCTATCAGCTGGTCATCAATTCTCCATTTTTTGGGTGGAGAGCTGATATGTGATGTTCATTTAGAAGATCTGTAACCCTGTCTTTGAGGAGGTGCCCACCTGAGAGACACACTTACTTCATTTCATATAGTGTCATTTCAGTCCACGTGGGGCAGATAGTGACTAAATGCCCATCCTATATCACACAGTGAGCTGACCTTCTGAGAAATATGGTTGAGTATAATACTGTCATAGCCCTGAGGATTCCAGGGTCTTGTGATTTCCTTGTTGGAGCAATGTAGGTCAGAGAGGTACGAACCACAGAATCAGGAGAGAATACTGTGGCTGCCATTTTCTTCCATAGAGGCCAATGGAACTAAGGTGGCAAAAGATTGACACCATACTTCCTACTTCTTATTTCCTCTGTGCCCAGTATCTTTGTCAGTATTTCCTCCAAATTTAGTTTAGTCCTTGGGTGTCTCACCTTCTCATCTTCTTTCATTTTTCTACATACCTCCTCAAGTCTCCTGATGGACAGCAATCACAGATCTGGTACAAATTAGGAAAAAACTTTTGACTAAATCTCAAAATTTCTCCAGAATGTGGTTAGAAATGACAGATGTCAGTCAGTTTTTCATTGCTGTAATAAATATCTGAGATAATTAATTTATAAAGACAAAAAGTTTATTTTGACTCACAGTTTTAGAAGTTTCAGTCCAGGGTGCATTGGCTCTATTGCTCTGGGTCTGTGGTGAGGCAGCACATCATGGCAGGAGCATGTGGTGGAGCAAAACTGCTCACTTCATGGCTGGGAAGAGAAAGATCAAGGAAGGATCCAGGAGTCCTACAATTTCCTTTAAGGACACATCCCTGAAGACTTCCCACTAACACCCACCTCTAAATTTCCACAGTCTTCAAATAACACCAGGCTGGGGACCAAGCCCTTAACATGGGGGCCTTTAGGGGACATTCCAGATCTAAACCGTAGCACATGGTGTGTTTTGCTGGTCCACATGGTAGAGAAGGAGACTATAGAAGACCCATCTCAACTCTGTCTAGAAGTGATACACATCACTTCCCCTTACATTCCACAGCTCTAGGCAAGTCACATAGCCATGCCCAACCGAGTTCAAAATAATATGTGTGACTGAAGAACTTGCTGGTGCGTAACAACCACCACACAGGTTGTCACTGTTTTGATGGACAGATAAACTGAATTCAAAAATGGAGGTCAAAGAAGTTGTCCAAGGTTAAACAGCTAGTAAGTGATTGACCCAGGAGTCAAATTTAGCCTTTGTGAATTAGGACAGAGGTCATTAAACATTCTCTGTGAGGGTCAAAGAGAGAATATATTAACTTTTGCAGGCCATGTAGCCTCTGCCTAAACTATTTATCTGTACTTCAGCCACAGACCATATGTAAATAAATAGGCCTGACTGTACTTCAATAACACTTTATTTACAAAAATATGGAGTGGGCTAGATTTGACTAGTAGGGCATGATTTGCTGATCCCTAATTGAGAGTCCTTGCTTATGACTTTAAGGTTACCCTTAGCTCTGAAAATTGTGAAATGATGAACAAGTTAGAATCATAACCATTTTCTACCAAATGTCTACTACAGTGTTACCTGTCTGGTTAGTCAGAGTTAAATAATTTCACAGCCTTTAATGGGTCACTGAGCTTTCATCCAGCCAAGGTCAAGTGTAACCAGCTTCTCTTTGGGGCCTGGCTAATTATTACTGTATGAGTTTAAAAGGAATGGCAGATGGGTAATTTTCTTACTAAAAATGACAACAGGAACCCTACCAAAGACTAAGTAAGCCACTATTAAACCCCCATTAGCTGTGTAGGGTCATTTCTAATGGCACATTCACCCATGGGACAATTGTTCTGCTGGCCTGTGCTAACCAGCAATTGAAATCAATGGGAAGCTTTGAGCACCAAAGCAGGGGTTTTTTTCTGTTCCACCTAACCCAGACCTTGTTTTTCCAGCTGACACTCTGCCTGTGTCAGCTAATTCCTGCTTTGGAAAATGCATTCCGGGGTTAATAAAGACTTTAAAGTCACCATTTTCTCACCATGTTATTAAAACCCAATTGGCTTTGTATATTCCTAATATGATCAGGCGATTCCTACGCCGTTTTAGAAACTGCTGGAATGTCACAGAATCTGGATTTCCCATTGGGAAGGCCTGAGGTATATTTGTGAGCTCATTGTTTCTAAATGATTCAAGTTCTACAATGGTGAGTCAGTGAATTAGAGACGGCAGTATTACTGGCTTGCGTGCACATCTTAAAATCTGTAAGGCAGCATTCACCTTCACTAAGTTCTTGCCAGCTGTAGGAAGCTGGGCATGCTACCTTACTTTACTGAGTCTCAGTTTCTGTGATGATGAGGCCAATGTCACAGTGTTGTGAGGAGGGACACAATGTTTAAGTGCCCACACGTCCCTCCATGAAGGGCAGCTGGACAGACGCAGGAAGGCCCCAGGTTCAGCCAAGCCCAAACTAGCTGGGAACTGACTCTAGAAAGTTGGCAGAATCAGACCCAAGCTGGGTCCCTAGTGCTAAACTGGAGTTCATCAGGAGAAACAATGACAAGCCAGAATGATTAGCAGAATGAACTAGTGGAACCTGCCCACCATGAGCCTTGGTCATGCTAAGTGGCACTGAGTCTTCCCCAGGCTGGGCCACAGCTATCTCAAAGGAGAAGGCCCATGTGGGGCAGAGGAAAAGCAGCCTTCACTTCAGCTGCCTACCTTCCTCTCCATAATCAGTTCTCACAAGTGTGACTCTGAGCTCATGAGGGGCCTGATAAAACAAGTGGGTATGGCTTGCATGGCTAGGCACCCAGGTACAGGGTAGGTGTACAATCTACCCTGAGCTCCAGATCCTTGGTGGTAGTGCTGCAAGCAGAGCACCAGAAGTTTATACCTTGTGGAAGCATCAGATACCTGAATGAGATCTCTGAGCTCTTTAAGTCTTTCTACTTCCCATTTTTTTAATAAGAAAACAGAGACCCAGTGATAGGTGGTTAGTGCTTTGCCTAGCATCATCTAGACAGCAGGATGGTGGGCCAAGCTTGGAACTGAACTCAATCTCTATCTACTTATCTATTTTAACAACCCTTTAAGGATGGGGGAGGGATAGGTATAGCTCAGTCATACAGGCTGTGTCATAGAGGCTCCATGATAGAGCCTGTGTTTATCAAGAGCAAGGCCCTAGGTTCCATCCCCAGGCTACCAAAAAAAAAAAAAAAAAAAAAAAAAAAAAAAAAAAAAAAAAAAAAAAAAAAAAAGGCAGATACACTGAACAGAAAGAGAACAGTGTGAAGTCTAGAAAACAAATTTCTAAAATTCCTAGCTATATCCAAGGAAGAATTTTTCCCCTTTATAATCCCTTTGTAATACCCACAGGGAAATAAGGACCCTCTCCCTATTTCCTCTACCCTTGAGTATATTCAAGTCAAGTATTCCTACCCAGGGGGAAGGATAGCCCCAGATCCAGAAGATCAAATACAAATACTAAACACTGCTTTCACCTTATTTTTTGGTTTGTTTGTTTGTTTGTTTTGGTAGAAGTTTTCTACCTATGCCTGACCCTGCCATTTCCTAGCTGTGTCTTTGGGCTCCCTGAGCTCTGACTACCACCTAATAGCCCCAACACAACAGAGGTAATTAAAATCAGGGCTCTTTTGTAAGCTGTAAAATGTTAGATGAATGTAAACCTTTGGCCAAAGGATTTTATTTCTTTGTAAAGCATATTGAGGCAGAGAATTCCAAGTTGGGAGCAGGTGTGTCTCTTTTCCTTTAAAGGGGAATAGAGAAAAACCTCCAGGCAGCCATTCTGCAGAGCCTGGAACCTCCTTCCTGTTTTTACAACCTCCCTGCCAACAGTCCAGGGGGTAACAAAGTCTCTCTCTCTGAAATCTGCAGTCAGTTGCATTCCAGGCAGACTTGCCAATCATTAGCCATGCAATTTTGTTTATACTGCCCCGGCCTGGAATTTGGCCTCTTACAAAACTCCAGCTACAAAGGGAGAACTGGTTGGGCCAAAACTGCACAGTGAGTGTGCAAGAAGCGTCCCAGGAAGGTAGCTGGAAGTGCTTGTTAAACAGACATTAGGCCTGGGCGGCCCACCAAGCCCAGCCCTAAGTTCCCAGCTGGCCTTTCTGTTGATATTGAATTGAGAGTCTGAGGTGTGATCTGGCCCATGGACAGGACAACTCCTCTCAGATTTGAATGACTTTCTAGCTTCAGAAAAAGGTCAAGGTCTCACTGACAAAATTAGCAGCAGCATTGCCTTCAAATCTTTGCCTTGTGGAGGGATTAACATTTGTTAGGCATCTTCTGTCCAGCAAGGAAAGTATCATCTTCATTATTTCCCTAGGACAGCTCTACAGAAGCCAAAGCTGGGCTTCTGATCACTGGGTTACTTTGATGAAGGTCAGAAAGTCAGGAAACTTATAGAATGGCCCCTGCTGTTTGCATCCACCACGGAACATCCCTGCTTTTCTCCTTTCTTGGGATAAGAAATCCAGCTGCCTGTCTCCATGGGCTGGGCATGAGTTCCAGGCTAATCCAATCATAAGACCCCACTCTCCTGCTAAAAATGAAATAAGGACATGGGACCAAGTCTGACCAATGAGACCCTGTTTTACACCTATGAACACATATATTCCTCTGCAGTGGTTTAATTATGTGTCCCTCAAACTCGTATTTTAAAATGCTAACCTCCAGTGTACCATGGTATTAGGAGAAGGGGGCTTTTGGGAATTGATTGGGTCATACCTCATGACTGACATAGTGCCTTTATAAAAGGGACTCCACAGAGCTTTCTCATCTTCTTTCCAGCATGCAGGGATACAGTCAACAGACTATAAGCTGAAAGAGGACTCTTACCAAAGCACATCCAGGCTGGTACCCTGACCTCAGACTTTATGAGAAATAAATTTCTGTTATTTGTAAACCACTTAGTCTGTGGTAATTTGTCATAGTGGTCTGAATTGAATAAGATACCTGTAGAAACTCAATGATATAGGTCCCCATTTTACAGATGAACAAACTGAGATACAGCAAAGTTAAGCAACTTGCCTGAGGTCGCACAGGTAGTAGAAGTGCCAGGTTTCTGGCTTCAAAACCTATGTTCTTACCTACTATGCTAGTGAAGCTAGTTCTGCCATGCTGCTTCTTTGGGCTTTTGGTTTTTGTTCCACCTGCCAGTCAGCCTCCACTCCTCTTTCATTATCATTTTAACAATCTTTTCAGGTCAAGCCACTTCTCATAGCTTCTAAATCATTGCCTATATCCCACAGGATCAACTCTAAGTACTGAGCTAGCAACTAGGTTTGTTCTGCCTCCCTAAACAGCTAAACTACATATATGTAGGTGTATACACACACACACACACACACACACACACACACAGACACACACACACACACACACACACACACAGCCTTTGCAGAAAGACCAGTCTACTTAGGGCTTCTTCCAAAACATGTTAGCTTTCTAGGGTGCCACTGTGCATACATAGAATGCAAGCCATATATGGAATTCAAAAAATTTTAGTAGCCACATTAAGAAAGTAAAATGAAATTGGCAAAAATAATTTTAATATCATGTTCAGTATTAGCATTTAAACATGTAATTGATATAAAACAAATTATGAATGCATCTATTGTTTTTGGTTAAAGTTTTGGCAATCTGGTACGAATTTTACTTTTACAGGATGTCTCAATTTTATAATAACCATATGTTTCTGGTGGCCGTGGTATTGGACAGTGCAGCTCTAGAAGAAGGCTTCTACTAATTTTTTAAGTCAAAGCATATATAGGGAATGATCAAATTGTAATGGTATTGTGGGAGTAAATAGTTGAGATTGCCCAGGACCAGAGGCAACAGGACAGATATCCCAGTTTCCCACTCCTCTCTCCCAGTATAGAGGGCTAGATATGCAGAGGTGTTATGTGTCTTAGGAAAAGGCCACCAATTTGAGAATTTCGGCCTTGCTTTTGAGTTAAGTGGCATGGCCAACCTGGTATATGGCAGGGCAGAAACAAAATTTGAACCAAGCTGTCTTTGCTGCAGAGTCTTTAGTTTACACTGTTTGGCTATACAACTTTCTAGTGCTACCAAAAAGTTGAAGATTTTCGTTTTAAAATAT